TATATATATATATATATATATATATATATATATATATATATATATATATATATATATATATATATATATATATATATATATATATATATATATATATATATATATATATATATATATATATATATATATATATATATATATATATACATATGGGTGTGAGTCAATGGGAGGGGTTATAACCCCCCCTTGCCTACGCCACTGGAGAGAGCTATACGTTGGTAACAAGTGAAATTGCGGGGTGCTGTCATTGTGCTAGTCACAAGTGAAATAGTGGGGTGCTTGCATGGTGCTATTTCAAAGGGATCATTTCCCGGTATCACGCCATGTTTCTAATACATTTCTGTGCCCCTGGTGTATGAAGGGTTAACGTTGTCAGCCCTCCTCTGCTCAGCACATTGTCTATCTCTACCCGACTCAGCCAGATACCCAGACTTTGGTCCGTGAACCAAACACGAGATTAATGGCTCTATAGCCATGTGCTCTATCTCTTGGCCAGCTGGGATCTAGTCTATGAGACCTGAGAAATTAACAACCAGGGACCGCCCCCCCCCCCCCCCTCGCAGGGGAAGGGGCTCAATGTGGACAACCTATTATACACCTATCATTCTAAAAATAGATCAATTTCAAACGGTAACCATGGTAAGATTGAAATTCATAAAACCCATGATAATCACACAAACCTAGGCGTGATAGATAATTTATAAACAAATTATTGGCCCTATTGATCTACTACAGTAGGCAGAAGCGTATCGAGGGGGGGGGGGGTGCGGATCGCACCGGGTGACACCATTTAGGGGGTGACACAAAGGCAAAAAATAGCAAAATATATAGAGAAAACTTTGAGGGGGGGTGCAAATCGAAAGTTTGAGGGGGGGGTCGCAAATTGAAAGTTTGAGGGGGGGTGCAAATCGAAAGTTTGAGGGGGGGGGGTGCAAATCGAAAGTTTGAGGGGGGTTGCAAATCGAAAATTTGTTCCGGGAAGGGTCGCTGCGGCTCTTGGGGGTGACACCAGTAAATGCCGCACCGGGTGACACCCGACCTCTTTAAGCTACTACCTAATTACAATTTATGCATTTTAAAATGTGTTTCAGCGAACTAATCGCTCTATTATGTATGTCCAAATGGCCAGCTATCAAAGCATACAACCAGAGGTAAATGTAGCATGGAGTCTACTTACTGTCATCCCCCGAGAAGGTGCAGTTATCCCAGTCCGTGCAGGTGAGAATCAGCCCCTCCACCGTGGCCTTTTCCTGGTCAACTGTCCAGTACGTGGTGCCAGTGGAAAATCCGATGAGAAAAACTCCAAGACTGAATACTGTAATCCCACCATTGTAGGCACAGCTACATCTCGTGCAGGCCATTCGTGAGACCTGGGCACAAAATTTATTCAAAACTTTGACTCATTTCAAACTTTAACAATCTCAGTCAATAAAAATATCGTTCAAGGTTTACGGTAAAATTTCAAAAGTTCAGAGCAAGTTAAAGAATAATATAGATTTGTGTTATTGTTCAATGTATCCAAAGGTTAAAAAATCCTATAGATTTGTGTTATTGTTCAATGTATCCAAAGGTTAAAAAATCCTATAGATTTGTGTTATTGTTCAATGTATCCAAAGGTTTAAAAATCCAATAGATTTGTGTTATTGTTCAATGTATCCAAAGGTTTAAAAATCCTATAGATTTGTGTTATTGTTCAATGTATCCAAAGGTTTAAAAATCCTATAGATTTGTGTTATTGTTCAATGTATCCAAAGGTTTAAAAATCCTATAGATTTGTGTTATTGTTCAATGTATCCAAAGGTTTAAAAATCCTATAGATTTGTGTTATTGTTCAATGTATCCAAAGGTTTAAAAATCCTATAGATTTGTGTTATTGTTCAATGTATCCAAAGGTTTAAAAATCCTATAGATTTGTGTTATTGTTTGATGTTTGCGAGTACCACAATGTAAGGAGCTAAAAGACACGTGACACAACCCTTTATGGTAGATACTCATCGGTCAGATTATACAGCCTTTTAGCCTATAGCATATAATTAGCCTATTAGCCTATTAGTAATAAGGACTGAAGTCATTCGATGCATGTAAACAATTATTAAACTGTTTCAAGTATTTATGCACGAATATATGGCGTTCAAATTTTAGATTATTTTTTTTTTGTAAAATGAGAATTATAATGGCCTCAGTGATCCTAGTACAAGAGCTTTCTTGTTTAAATTTTCGATTTAAAATTAAAAGAGTTTTTGAGGGGTTTTATTTTCTTGCTATTATAAAATTATTTTTAAAAAATTAAACATCCGATATAGTCTCTGTAGTCTAGATGGGTATTTAATAAATCATTTTTCAAAACATAGCCTACCTTATATGGACAAGTTAAATCCTACAGCTGAAATGACCAGTGTCCACGCTTGTCAATTTATCTACAGGCGAATGGGCTGAAAGTGTACACGCATCATCCTTAAAGAGCCAGTGTTCAAATTTCAACAATTGAACGATTACTCAACCGTGTCGGTAACCATGGTGACGGTAAGCCACCGCCCCGGGTGATTAGCCAACATTGGGTGCGATAGACCGTGGCGGTCAGTCTCTGTGCTGCATGGTCCGAGGTTTGGCGGGGTCGGCCACAGCACGGACAATGGAAAGGGTAGGGAGGGGGGGGAGTTGACCCCCCCCCCCCCCCCCGAGACGTAACAATAGCGGCTGATTGTGGTAATCCTTGCCGTGTGTGCTGCACGTAGATTTTAAGGTAGATTTTAATTGAACTTCTGTAGCCTGGTGTGTTTGGCGTTGTTCATCTTGGTGTCAGGAAACCGCACATCAGCTTGTTTGTACGTGGCTGACACAATGAATGAATTCTGACACTTCGTGGTTTTGGGGTTGATGTTTACGTTTGGAAGTCCAGGACGGAATTTCAATTGAAACCATAAATGAACATTAAAAGACGCTGCTGACGTCAGAAAGAGGCGTACGTTTGACGTCATTGTATAGCCTGAAATGTTGCCTACTGTACAGCCCACATAGGAAAACAAGTGTAAGGCGCCCATGTACCCGCTTTATTTTATGGCCATGGCATGAAGTTCTGTCAAGCGTGTGTGTGTGTAGGGGGGGGGGGGGGGGGGGAAGCACCTCTCTCTTTTCAAAATGGACCATCTTTCGTAAGTAGGCCTGCATGTATGGGTGGGTTCGTGTCGCTTTAGTTTCAAAATATAAAAATACCATAAAACCCAAATTTTACAGTCCACTGGAATATTTAGCCATACTCATAGGTAGAGGTAGATAGGCCTTTATAGATATGCTATAGTATTGCCTATCTTATAGACTTATAGAGAAAAAATGTCGGACTTAAAAAATTATCTTAAAAGCCCAGAGACCTAAATGTTGGGACATGTATAAGGTTACCAAAGAAATATGACAAAGTTAAAGCAATAATTCTTCACAGTTCAGTAAATCCTACAACAATAGTCTTCAAACGTTCGTGATTTAGATCCTTGAATGTCGTTCGTGACCTCGCTTTAAATGATCACAGATATATTCACTGTTGTGTTTGGAGAAAAATAACAAAAGAAAGTATAAAACTAGTAATAAACGGCACAAAATAAAAATTAATAGTATAACAATGGTAGTACAAATGTCAAATACGATTTTTTTAAAAATTGAAAAAAACGACACAAGGGGAATAAACATGTTAATCACAAAATCTAAAAATAATTACATTGTTACTTCCCCTCGGTCGAATAGCCATATATTTTTAGCGCAATTTCCATTCTGGAGAATTGCGTTTATTAACTCGTCTTTTCTGGGAATGGATGGATGGATGGATGGATGTGTGTCCGCAGCTTTAAGTCGTATCTCCTCCTCAACGAAGCAATATCGAGGACTAGTTCCAAAAGCAATTATGTTAAGCAAGTTACGAGGATGAACATAGGTCATAAAAATTCCTGGTATCTTTTATGGATTTTCCGGAAAAGCCAAAAAACCTCGAAAAAATGCAGTTTTTGGCCCATATCTCGGCAACCAGACCACTTAGCGACTTGAAACATGTACCAATCGATTCCTGCCATAATTTAGAACCATAGTTTATTGCCGAAGAAAGTTTTCAAAAATATCCTTTCGTTCGGTCACAAAATGTTTTTTTAATTAATTAAAATTTGGACCGAATTAGTAGGCATTTTATGCAACCACACCACACGCGTCATCACGTTCAATAGCTGCGCCATCACGTTCAATGGCTGCGACGTCACGTTCGGTAGCTGGGCGCGCAATGGTTTTTAGTCATGTTACTCTATTGTAAATAAAACATGTAAAATACTGAAATTTTTTTAATAAAAAACGTTTTAATAACTAACCAATGGTTTTACTAACCCTGCTCTTGATGTACGCTACGACAGAGCTATTTTTAGATAACACAAGGAAATTGCGCTAAAATTGTCACTAGACTTTTTTAATTACTTGTTTTTAATTATAGAAACGAGAAATTGGAAATATTTAAAAAAAAAAAAAAAACTTATAATAAGCTTTCAAGTGCACTGAACAGTTAAAAAAATAGAGTCAAATTTTGTTTTTAAAAAAGAAAGTTTAAAAGTTATTTCATAAAAATTACAAAGGGAAAAAAGTCTAAGGGAGGTAGCAATGTTAAACCAGGAGTTCGTAGAATAATTACCCTGTTATTTCCCTTAGACCGTACTTCTACTCGGAAATTTTTTTTTTCTAATTGCCCAAAAAAAAAAAGCGTTAGTCACTCATGGAATCATTTACACTTTTTATTGACCGAGTTTTTTTTACAAGTTTGTTTTATTTTATTAGTAGTAGACCTATATTTAAAAGTTTAATACATTTTGTTTTTCTTTTATGAATTATATAAATCAAAATACTATTAAATAGAAAATCGATGCATTAGTAGAGTCAAAATGGATTAAAAAGATTTCCCACAAACTCAAAGAGAAATAAACAAACATTGTAATCTAACTAAAAGCTTATAATAAAACAACAAACTATTGTTAATGAAACCCTTTTTCAACATTTTAAATTTATTAAATTATTTTACAACATTTTATATTCCCAAACAACAATTACACTAACAACTCTTTTAGGAACTTTAAAGATGCACACACTCCTAATTCTACTAGCATTTGCAAAAACAATATTTTAAATGCACTGATGACTACAGAAGAAAATAGAAATGAATTGGTCATTCTGATTTCTGAAATTTTAAAAAATAGTTTCGGTTTACCAAGAAGTTTGATTAAATCAGACACTGATTATTGAGGAAGAAAAAAATACAAAATAACTCAAACAATTAAGAATGGAACATAAATGTACAGTATGGTCAAATTCTTGTTTCTTTTCTGTTTAAATATAGAGAAATATTTTTCAAAGGAACAAAACAATTTATATTCAAGCTATGAATAAATGCCCCTTTCATATGGCACAAATGGTGTATGTTATATGGAGTACAATTTATTCATCTAAAATACTGACGGTTCATTTTGAAACAAAAGGTGACTTGTTGTCAAATTATCTGTGCCCTCTATTTTCCTTCTCTCATCTTTTTTATTTTCTCTGCACCAAATTGAGTCGTTATCCTGGGGGAAGATAAAAATGTATATAGACAATTTTTTTTACAAATGATGCATGTTAATAGCGCTGATGAGACAACGCCTAAATTTGTTAACACTTTTAACAGTTTAAAATGTTGTTTGTAAGGAAGAAATTTAGTCAAGTAACTTACTAGCAGATCTACCATGTTCACTACTGAATCAATATTAGTTTAGAAAGGAAAATTATTGTTAAAAAACTGAATCCACAGGAAATATCTAAAAAATAAACTTAATTACCAAACACCAAATTCTAACATGAGAGAAATGATCCATTGTTTGTGTGATATTCTTACACCCCACTTACCATTTAGCCATTGTGTGATATGCTTACATCCCACTTACCATTTAGCTACTGTGTGATATGCTTACACCCCACTTACCATTGGGCCACTGTGTTTGTGTGATATGCTTACACCCCACTTACCATTTAGCTACTGTGTGATATGCTTACACCCCACTTACCATTTAGCCAAGTCTGGAATATACTGATTGATGTAGACCAGGAACAGAATGGGCTGCTGCACTAGCCAGGTTTCATACACCTGGTTGGCAATGGCAACACACGACAAATATGCGCACCGGTCTGTACTCATACGCTTCTCTTTGCTCTCCATCTCTCGCCCCAGTTTCTGGCAAATAAAAAATATGACATGCACAGTAAGGTCATTTTATCAGCGGTACAAAAGTTGAGAAACAAAACAAACTTTCAATTCATACTTTTCAATAGGCTACTCAAGCTATTTACCATAAAAAAAAATAAAGGGGGATTACTATATGCATCAAATGTTTATTATTCATAAGTAGATACAATAATGCTTGTTGGAAATATATATGGTATTCACAAACATGATAGGTTGAAAATATTGCTTAAATAAAATGCAATTAATAAAAGGTTACCTCCCCTGTAGTTGCAGTGGCAGCATGGATAAAAAGATTTGAAAAAGTTGGTCCAGGGCAAATGGTGGTCACGTGAATTTTGTGCTCACTCATTTCTGTTCGCAGGGCATTGAAGTAACCCTGTGTGGATGTGAGTACAGGAACATGAGAACATGATAGCCAATGTTTATAAAATATAACCTTAAGAATTTGTTTAATGATAGGCTATTTCATCTTCATCTTTTCCTTTTTATCAGTCATCTGCAATTTTCCTGGCAGTCCACCATGACAGTCCTGCCTCTGCCTGCTGATTCCCCGACGTGCACCTTCACGTCTCCCTTGGTCTATCCTGCTTTCTATTTCCTTAGTCCCAACACTAACAAGTAACATAGTAAAATCTTACATGAAGAGCATGCTTGCTGCCAGTGTATGATCTGGAATCTGGCACACCTGTTTTAGAAAATGTAGTTAGTTGCCAACTTTTTAGTTAATTTATGTTATTTAATAAATTAACTTAATTAAACAAATTGATATCCTAGAATTAAAAAAAAAATAACTTTAAACTTTACTAGATAAATATAAAAAAAACATTAAAAAATAATATAACTTTAAACTTTACTAGATAAATTTTAAAAAAAACAGTCAAAAAATATGGTGGTTAATCATGTACACACCCATGATCCCCGCAAGACTGCTCATCAAGGCGATGTGTCCCTCCTTGCGGCTGATCATGTGTGGCAGGACTGCCCGGGTTAAAGATACCTGACCCAGGACATTTGTTTCAAAGAGTTCCCTGTCCACAGACAGCTGGACGTCCATCCAGGCAGCTCTCTGGCTCCTCCCTGCATTGTTCACAAGGATATCAATCTGGAAATTTTTTTTTAATTTCATTATTTCCCTGATTTCTCATTTTAAAATTTTCTTCAATCCACAACATAAGCTTCCAAAATTCTTTAAATTGTGTTTTAACACATAAATTAGATTAACCTATAGATTTTTCAAACAATCCAGACCTTCTTGAAGTACTCTATGACTTGCTGAACAGCTGATTCATGGCTTCCGTAGTTCACAATGTCTAACGGCAGGACTAAAATGTCTTCTGATGATATTTTACCTTTTCCTACAATGATAAAAAAATGTGAATTTAGCAAAATAATAAAATACTGTTTTTCACAATAAAATTTAAAACCTACAATATATGGGGAGTCATTAAATAATGAATCACCTCTCAGGTGATGTCACAAGCTTCTAGCACCCCTCCCCCACCCTTTGTCCTTTCAAAACTGCAAAATAAATGTAACCCCTACTCTTAGTCCCCCCCCCCCCCCTTCCCATAATGACTAAAGTTCAAACTAACACCTTCCCCTGGGTAACATAATGTATTAATAACCCCCAATAGTAAGCAGCAAAGTATACCATTTACTATTTTTAAAAATCAGCAAGAAAAACATAACCATATATCTTCAGGTTGTAAATTTTCTTTTAAAATTTGACTGTTTAATTTTAAAGATCTACAATCACCAATCATATAATTGACAACATTACTTATTCAGCTGTTCCTCACCGAAGTCCAAACAGGCAGTTTTCACCCTGTCCAGTTCATCCTTCCTCCTAGCTGAGAGAACCAACTTGCACCCAGCCTTGGCGAGATAATAAGCAATGCTTTCTCCAATTCCACTTGATGCTCCAGTGATCCATACCACTTTACCCCTCAAACTATCTGACAAGAACATTTAATAATCCATACTTAAATAAATAGGATGATAATGGCCAGATTTTTCGTTTTATACTAATTTTACCTGCTCTTAATAGGTAGGCCTATAGCAATATGTCTATTATAGCATATAGTTACTATATATATATATATATATATATATATATATATATATATATATATATATATATATATATATATATATATATATATATATATATATATATATATATATTTTATATATATATATATATATATATATATATATATATATATATATATATATATATATATAGGCCTATATATATATAGGCCTATATATATAGGGCCTATAATCATGGCTAGGGCCTATATACTATAATTTATAGTTTGAAATGTATAACTTAACTTAAGTCTTAAACATACTCATATGTGTGTGTGTGTTATATATAGGCCATAGATCTAGATGAGTATTTTTTTTTCTAAATGTTTTTTAAAAAAAAAAAATGTATTATATTAGTATTATGTAGATCTAGATAGTCTATAAATATCTATATTCAACTATTTCAGCGAGCACATCGAACTCGAACTTTTTCTGCCGGTATCGCTGATAATGGTTGCGATACTTTGTAAAAAAAGTATAGGCTGGACTAGTAAAGTAAAGTCAACTAGATCTAGATCTACCTAGTTGTTTGCCAAATTTTGATTTATAGATAAGCTTAACATCTGCATCAGACAGCGCACATGTTATAAAAAACACAGCGATGATGAGCAGAATCAACGCAGCCGCCGTTACTATGAGACAAGTTATCATCCTCCCTCATCACACACAACACAACTGTGTGTACCTTAGCTGCACTATGACCTACTTAGTACGCCTAAGTATCAAAGTTCATCGATGTGTAGGCCTAGAGTGTAGTCTAGAGTTTGGACTAGCCTTAGCTTCCGTCCCTCCTTGGATTTTGAGTGCCCTCCCTTAGGATTTCATTCTTGAACCCACCTGATGTGATCCTTGCATCGAAATTCTAAACATAATGCGATCAGCGTAAATCTTCTATTGGGGCCATCCATAAAAGAGGGACTGCTTATTAATATACGATTTAACCCCAACCCCACAGGTCATAATAGCCAGACTTCACCCACCCCTTTTCTAATTTAAAATAACGTTACACCTAGGTATAAACAGTATTTTAAAAATCTAGCGAAATTCTAAAATAATTACTGAGCTCGATCAACAAGTGTTGATGTTTTGTACTTTCTCATATACGAAGTAAATCTATAGAGAAAGTATTGTAAGGGGTCATCCATTTATGACGTCCACAATTTTTGTTAATTTTGGACCCCTCCCCCCCCCCTCTGCGTGGACGTCATAAATGGATGGCCCCTATTCGTGCAAAAAAAAAACTCGAGATTTTTGCAAATCTCAACGTTTTACACCTCCCTGAGGCGGAAAAACATAGGCCCTAGTTTTGCAATCTTGTCCGTATGTGTGTGTGTATGTCTGTAAACACGTTAACTTGAGTACCGAGTACTTGAGTATTTAAGTATTATATCAAATTTGTAGATTCCTATAAACTTTTCAGCGATTTCCGATAGCCGGAAGTGGAACTTTTTCTACTTTCAAATTTTCAAAAGCCTATAACTTGAGTACTATTTCAGATAGATAAATGAAATTTCACACATAAGTAAAAGATTGAATTCTCTGCCTTCTTTCAAATTTTGAGTAACTTCTGTTGACCGGAAGTAGTAATTTAAGCTAATTCCGATTTCTCAAAAAACGCATGTGAATTTATAAATTACTAGTAATATTCCGCACTATTATACACATTTTATTTGGCGTTCACTTGGTGTGCAATTCTTTTTTCTACAAGATTCTATTCTATTTTAAAAAGTTTAAGCAGTTAAAAATATTGTATATATCCCCAGTTGCCACCCCCTGTAGTGTTATATAAGAATATTTGAGAAAGTTTAGGGGAGATCACTCCCGGTTTATTTTAATGTGTATTGCAATTTATAGTCTTTGACTTGTCACACATGTAAGAACATCTTCCCCTCACACCTTTAGAGTGTGACGTCATTTATGGATGGACATCTTATTCCTTGTAACATATACTATATGTTGCAATATTTGCAGTTTAAACTTTCCAATCCATTCTTTCACCTCCCTTGCTTTCTCATTGTACTTAACTACTTAGGGCCCCTATTTGCCTTCCTTACACTAGCAACGCAACTACTTATACCCTCTCGACAGGATGTGAGTGGATATATATATAAACACCTATACTTACTTAGTATTGCTTCCTTCTGGGCCATACAAGTAAGTTATCTTGTCTTTTTTTATAAGACTCTAGCCTTAGACCAAGCTAGTTCCAGTCAGATAAGAAAAGTAATGCCTTTTTTCTGTCACTGGATGCTTGAGTGGTTTTACTTTCTTGACAGGGATGTGCTAATGGTTCTTTTTAATTGAGAATGCTCTTTGGCTTTAAGCAAGGAGAGACCATTCTTTGCTATTAAATTTAAATAGATCTAGGCTTGATACATATTTCCAAGGTTTAAAACATCTCTGTCTCTCTAATTCCTTTATCTTGTTAAAATTACCAAATCAAGCTTTTTGCTAATTAGCCAGACACACAGGAGCATTTCTGTACACTATGTGACCAGCTGCTAGACACAAGGATTTAGCTTTCTCCTTTAGTGCATTGTATCACCTGGTTTGGATATAATGGGCAGTTAGGTCAAGTGATGACCTACTGTCTGGAGACTAGGTTCTGAACTCATGACTTTTGGGTTACAAGTGCACATTCTACCATTATTCTGTGTTCCTCCCAAAACAATACCACACACACAAAAACTGAAAGGTTTAATGAAAGTTAATATTTTTATTCACTCTTTTTTTTATATAATAATACTAACTAATATTGGTTCATAACCCAGATTGCTTTGTGTCATCCACAACTTCCATACCGCAATACCAGCCAATCAAAGCCAATAACAACAGCACAATCTTCTACTTCTACAACTTTTATTTGACATGTAAAACACCCATGTCCAGCATCCACACAACAGACATCACAAAATTGAAAAATGGCAGGAAAGTTAAAAGGGGGAGGTCAATTTGATTTAGATCGTAATGTCTTCACTTTTTTTGTTTCTCTGTATAATACTTGTCGCTGAACTGTAAATGCAAATTGTTTGAAAAGATTTATATATTATTTTACATACAAATATGGTGCTGTTTATTTTACAATGCTAAAACTTAAAAACACATTTTCAAAAATTATATTACATTGATTACAGAAGTAATACGCAGCATTTTTGTAGAGACAAGATATTAATCTTACCACGTGGATCAAAGAACAGGAACTCTAATTTTTCTGCTGTTTTAGGTCTTTGTCTAAAAATTTTGTGCCCAGTCCCAGCAAGACTTTCCAACATCACAACAGCAATCCTATTAGAGAATGTGTTTTCATTTAACACTCAAAACTATACAAAAGTTATTTCATGACTTGCATACTCAGCTAAAAGCAAAATTGCATCTTCACACACACTATGATACACACTATCTGTAAAAAAAAAATAAACGTACTTCATATTTAACTACTGTATCTAGTAAAATAAAATAACAGACATACTTTCCAGATGACATAGTGATCTTCTATTTGCAGTGAGCCAACAGAATAAAAACTGTAACCAGTAGAACAGTCTGAAAAAGTTTTCAAGAAATATTTAATAATCAGGAGCAGGATATTACCAACCCACCCATTCTCCTAGAGTTCATCCATAAATGCCCCCCCCCACACACACACACAAAACTGTAGTAAGACTATACTGGCCGCTATACACATTTATTAATAGCCTGTTAAAGTATTATAGTAGTATTACTAATATATTAAGTAAGGGTTTGGTTTAGTTATTAATGATTTTATTTTATTAGCTTAGTGATAAACTCTAAAAACTAATTTGGTTTTTTTTAACTTCCACTTCAGTTTCTCATTTTCCTCACTGACAACTGTATAAAATACTGTATAATAATAACTAGGTCTAGAAAATCTATCTGTATCTAGTCTAGTAACTAGATCTAGAGAGATCTAGATAGAAAATATAAAATAATACTAATTTCTCAAGACAAGTTCAAGTTACAGTTAGTTACAAGCAACAAGGGTTTAACTTGTTACGAATAGTTAGCCTACTTGGCCTACTAATTAATTAAAATTATTTAAAATTAGGCCTAAGACAGAAAGTGACGTAAAAAAAAGTAAAAGTAAAAAAAAAAAAGAGTAGGCCCTAGCTAAATTCAGTAGATTGGCCTAAACTCTAAACTAGACCAGATCTAGATCTAGGTTACTTTAATACTTAGCCTACTAGACTCTAGACCTAGATCTAGGTAGTCTAGATTAGCTAGTAAAATTCTACTAACTTCTAATATTAATATAGACCTAGAATCTAGATGTAGATTTATCTAGATCTACTTTTTAAATAAAAATACGGTGTGTTATAATAACTTTTTGTCTAAAATAATCAATGAGTAAGATGGGTTTACAACTTTACATTAAATAACATAGGAAACGCTTTTGTAGTCTCACCTAACTTTCGTTTTCACTACCTACGAAGGTCGTGTTTTACTTCCGCTCCTAAACCCTGAATTCTGAAGCCAATGAGCGAAAAATGTTTATTTTGTGCAGCACTAGCGGAAGGACACGAACACTTACGAAAATTGCCGATTGCCACGTTACCAAACTCATCTGTTAGACCTACCCTAGAGTTCTTTTTGTGTAGTTTGGGGATGTTTTGACACGACTTGTCAGATTTCAAAATTTTTCCTTCAAAGATGGAAATATCTTATGCATTCATTTTTCTTTTACCGTGCATCTTATATGTAGACGCTATACGATTTTATCTGTCATCAAATCAGAAGAAGTGCCTTCGTGAAGAAATTCACAAAAATGTTTTGGTAACCGGTGAATACGAAGTGCAAGAAAATGGTCAGAGGGCAGATTTGACTGTACGTTAAAATCGATCATATTATTCTTATAATTCATAATTAAATATTAGATGTAATTAACCTTAAAATGAGACTTCTCTAGTTATTAGATTAGTGATTTAGATCTAGTCAATAGGCAAACATAGAAAAAAATTATGGCTTAGGCCTACAAACAATGATTAATAAAGTTAATTAAACAATGATGGGCTGTCCAAAAAATAAACACGGCATTTTTGTTGAGAAATAATATAATGTTCGGGGGAAAAAAACAAAAACTGCTACAAAACATCTAGATCTAGATTTTCTAGATCTCTGTAGATTTATGCAACAAAAAAATGCACTTAGGCCTATTTTATTAGGCTAAATCACATTTTAAAACATTGCTATAACGACTATAACGAAGGCATAAGCATAATACTATATAGATCTAGATCTAGGCCCCCTCTAACTGCTTTTATTTGGGCTGAAGTAATTTATTATTGATTATAATCCATATTCCTTCCCCTACAAAAATAAATATTATTTTTTGAGCTTTATAAAATTGTAAAAATGAAGTAGTTAAAATGTCTTTCAATACTACTAATAGAGCCTAACAAGGCGTAGGTATTTAATTTGGCTATAATTATACTTACTACTTTGGTCTGTAGAACTAACTGTAATTAATTGACCTGACTAATGATATTCTTTCATGTTGTACCTATCTCAATCAACTACATTTCAACACTCCCCTCCGTCACTCGTCACAAAAAGTCAGACCCCCCCCCCCCCCTCAAATGTCACACCTCAGCCTACAACCCCCCTCAAAATTGCTGTTGAATTTTTCTTAAAACATCGATATTTTTCAAAAATCTTGTCAGAACTCTGTCAACATAGAGTATTTTCATCAATTCCTATTACAATCTATTAAAACCGTTTTCTAAAACACAAAATAACGGCTGAAACTCGTTTTCTAACATTGCTTTTTTATAACGCAAAAAAGTGACGTCACACCAACTGAATCCCCCTCATCACACACCATCACAAAATAACGGACCCCCCCTCCCCCTACGAGTGTGACATCATTTATGGAGGACCCCTTTGGGTGGAGGGGGTAAAAATCAATTTTAAAAGCATGACATTAAGGGTCAATACGTAACAGGGAAGTAATGTATACTGATACATATCTCAAGCTTTCTCCCACACCCAATTTGCCATGTACATTTTTTTAAAAGTTACATAGTATAAGTATTAAATTGTTGAAAAATTTAAAATATGATGCTCTGTGCTACAACTTATTGTTGTACAACAGTTGTATCCATGGGTTTTTAAATTTTCTTACTATTGTTTATTTTTAAAGGTGACTGACTCAAGAGGGCACATTTTGTACACTAAAGAAGATGCTACTAAAGGCAGATTTGCATTCACTACAGAGGAGTATGATAATTTTGAAGTCTGCTTTGCTTCAAAACCCATGGGTGGTAAGCAGTTTGTTTTCTATTCCGAATACATGTATTACAGTAATCGAAAGCTGATTAGCTGTTATTGGCAGTATATTTTGTTAGATCTATTACATATGAATAACATACTTGTTTTTTATGTTAATTTTTTTCTTAGGTGGAATAGCTGCAGATAGAGAAGTGTATTTAAATGTCAAGCATGGTATTGAAGCTAAGAACTATGAAGACGTAAGTTTTTATTTGATTTCTTCCCAGAGATCAGGCTCTAATATTAAAATACTTTATATTTAAAAGAATAAAATTTCTTCACTTGTTGGTATTATGTTGTTGTTCAAATTGTCATAATTTTACATTTAAGATTGCAAAAGCTGAAAAGTTGAAACCTCTTGAGGTGGAGTTAAGAAGACTTGAGGATCTTTCCAAATCTATTGTTGATGACTTTGCATACATGAGAGCAAGAGAGGAACAAATGAGAGACACAAATGGTAATTTTTTAAAAAAATTATATAAATACTTTAATCTGAAGTTTCTTACTACTTGTATTAACTGGACCAACTAAGTTAGCTGCTTAATGTAGTAAAGATTAAGCTATGGAACATGATAATTATTGGTTGTTGCTCTTCTTTCTATAAATTCAATTTTTGATTGTTAAAATTTTGCAATTAAAAACTACTTTAACAGAATCCACCCACTCACGTGTGATGTACTTCAGCCTGTTCTCTATGCTGTGCCTGCTTGGTCTGGCCACTTGGCAAGTCCTGTACCTTAGGAGATATTTCAAAGCTAAAAAACTGATTGAGTAGAACAAAGTCGTCCTTTAGCTCAGTGTGTTTGTTTGTGTGGGCTATGTGAGTGAGTCAGCTGTCTTGTTTACTTCATTGTTACCTTGTTGAGTTCTGTCTTGATAGCAGCATGTATTATATTATTTTGTCTATGTAATGGTTACATAGCTAACTAGTTGTACATGATAATTCAGTTGCTAAAGCCTCATTGAGTGTTTGTTTATATTTGTGGCTGTGGGTAATACATGGAAAATAATTTTTTCTTCTTTTTTTTTATTAAAAAAAATAACAGTAGGTGATTTTTGCCTTTAAAATTTTAATTTCATATGTAGAATGTAAGTTGTGAAAAACAACAGTGTGTTGCAGAAAGAAGAGCCATGTATAAACATCAGTTTGTCATATTTGTATGGACTTGTTAGATTTTTAACTAATTTCACTTGTGCTATTGATCACCTTTTTAATGAGTCATTTTTCACATTAGCCCGTTTAAATTTAAGGCAAGTAAATTATATGAAACAAAAACAAAAGACACAATTTTTTGTCTTCCTTTATTTGTAATAATTTGTTGTAAATTTTAAATGTACAACACATAACTTATAAGTGCATGCTTATTTTAATTATTTGACAAAAATGTTTTGATGGGTTGAGACAGATCTGAATTCTGGTAATGTTTTTAATTAAATAAACTAAAATTCTCAGAAGGCATCTTGTTGAGTCTGTGGTCACCATTTGGTTAAGAGCTAACAATTGCTTCAGTTGGTGTTTAACTAAAAAAACATGTTTAACTGAATGATGTGGACTACTGCCTATTCAAATTGAACAGCAACAAATGAAAACAATCTGATCAATGAGATGTAACTTTAAGAATAAAAAAATAACCAAAAATTCATGAATGTTTTGACCAGACCCTGAGTTAAATTACGTAATTTGTACACAATTACCTTTAAACTAAAATTTTAAAGTTGCATTTTATACGGCTATTATAAGAAAATAGTTACATTTAATGTGCTTAATTGAGAAGATGTACACACTAAACAGAGATTACTATTAGAAGTAATAGCTTACAGCTAAATTAATGGCTGGACACAATACCCCCTGAAACAAAAACCTGTGCCCCCACCCTCCCCTAGGAATATTAATTAAACATTCCTCCATTTATAATATGGCAGGTAAACAACCATCCAGCCAATATTTCCCATATTTAAACAGCATGTCGATCATCATTCCAATAAAATATTAAGTGCTCAATTAAATATTAAGTAGGTAAAATTGATTCTAACAATAATTATTTAATCATAAAATGTATACATTAAAATGGAATTAGGACTTAAAATCATTGTAAGTTGCAGTAACAGAGTGTTTAAGTAAAAAAAATGTATTTACAAAGTACTTTCTATTTCCAGCCAAAAAAAAATGTATCACCTTGATAAATAATGAAACTATGTACATGTTTTTAGCACTGGAATGTGTTAATAAAGCTAACTATAAAAAGCATCTTCTAATAATCAGATGATAAAAAAGTTATTTTTTTGTGAAGACATAAATGAAGTCTAATGGGGTGACTAATTGCACTTTATATTGATTAATGAGAATATAAAAGTATTAAACGCTTTAGTTTTTAGACTTAAATTGCTACTGATTATAATTAATTTGATTAAAACAAGTCTAGTCACCTTATGAATGTAAAGGCTATGAAACAAATATGTTTAGTAACATTTATAGTTCTATCAGACAAACCGTAATATTTTTAAAATCTGTTTAACAACATGCAACATGAAATGTTATAATAATGAAATACATTCTGTGGTGACAATATTTTTGCAACCCTAAAAACTCACTGATTACATTGGAAATTGGTAATTACAACAGACACACAATTAATGTATAGGCCCAACAAAGTCCAGCTGGACATAGATTTTAACAATATTTTATAAAGAAATTTACCACATTAACAATCACATTGGCACTAAGGAATCCATACTTGATACATTAATAGCTTCTAACTTTGGTCAGCTTCTCAAGCTGTGACTGACCCAGGGCTGAGGCTAATCTTTTACTTATTGACTCGTACCCTGCTTTAATGGCGAGGTCATGGGGTGTCTCATTTCTGTCGTTCTTCACACTTTGATCAGCACCAGCACTGTCAACAGAACAAACAATCTTCCCATTTAAAATACAACAAAAGAATTATATAGGCCTATAAGCAAGTCGATGTTTTAAAATCTAGAGATAACCAGTATAGTGATGTAGGTTTGCATTTCTTTGTGCTCAACAAAATGGCAGGATAAACAAGTCAGTTTTATTTTTTCTACTACAATTCTATGGTCAAGTTGTACTCACGCAAGTAGAGCTTCAACAACTTTCATCCCTGATGCTCCCAGACTCACAGCTTCATGTAAAGGTGTGTTGCCTTTACTGAAATAGAATGACATTTAGTTGTATTTTTCAGAGATAGCAAAAGCTTCACTGAACTAACAAGAAGAATTAAAAAGACAGCCTTATGATGATGGTTGCTTCTGAAACACTGTTTTGTTTTTCTTGAAATGTATGGCATTGCCATTAATGATGTTGGAGTGTGATTTTAACAAAAGTAGAAGAAATCTGATGCATGTAATATAAAACAAAACAAAAGGTTCTTTTCACATGAGTTCCTGACAATGAAATCTATCAGTGCATAGGTGCGTTGTCTTTATTAGAGTTAAATATTAGGGTTCATTTTTGCTTTAGGTAGTAATTAGTTTACTACACCTCTTTTTTTAAAGAAGTCATACAATTTTTAATAAAAATATCCAAACCACTTCCAAATACAATATACTGATGAACTAAGTCATAGTTTCAAATTTGTGTGCACAGGGTGAAGGAAAATGATCACTTAAAGTTAAAGTGCAACCATAATAGAAGAAAAACGATAAAAGTTATATAAAGTTTATAAAAGTAATGAAACCAACAACTTACATAGCACTTGGTCCTTTAGCATTAACCAGTGCTCCACCACTGACTAAGACACTGATAGCTTCTATGTGTTTGTTCCTGACTGCAACATGTAAAGGTGACAACTCTGTTTTGTTCAGGCAGTTTGGATCAGCTCCCTGCAACAAGTTGGGCAAAATTTTGTTTCGTTACTTATTATTTTTTAAAACACTACCACCCAGAAATCTACTCATTTAAAAAATATTCACAGTTTAAAATAAAATTGCTTTCACATAAAATATTTACTATCATATTTTATATCCTGTCTTCATCATTCAAGAAGACTGAAGACATTTATTTTTTGTTGTGAGCTCCAGTAGAAATTACAAGATATTCAATAAAGTTTTTCTTCGCTTAGACCAAAAATAATGCGTAGATGAAACAGTGCCTACCTCATCCAGCAACTGCTGAATTTCACTGACTGATGCCTCGCCATTAGGTCCCAACTGTTTGAACAACTTGCTGTTTACAGGCTGGGTAAAAAGTTGAAAGTAAATGTTGTAGTTGTTTTGCTACAGACATTAGAGTTTATTAAACTTGTTTTAAAACACAACACATGGTTCAACATACTGATAGTTTAGGGGTTTGTTTCTTCTTTGGCTTAGGTTTTCTGACTTTTTTAGCAGTGTTCGATCTTGAGGTGGCAACTTCCTCGTCCTCTTCTTCTGATTCTGTTTTTAAAAAAAAATGATTTAGAACTGTTGAGAAAAAATGACTCATTTGGATGATGTAAGTTATACGTTATAAATAGTTTAGAGGTCTATCAGAAGGAGAAACAGAGCATAGCGTAATCAGGTAGACCAATAGAATTGCAGGAGATGACCGGTCAGCTGACCACTAACTTGTGGACAGCAGTGGGAAACAATTTTAGACCGTGTTGCTATCAGACGTGTTAGGTCGCTCGCAGTTGACCAGTGGCAGATGTAGACAGTTGAAATGTAGATACAGAAGAGTTGGTCAAGGGACCGTGTAGGGAGAAGTCAAGTGTTAGTTACAGTTAGATAGTGTTAGTACACAGTCATATGTTATGAAGTAGTTATAGCCTAGTAGGAGTCGAAGACTGATGTGTAAATAAAGCACTGTTGTATATCTTGAATTGGACTTGCGTCTTTGATTCCACTAAACTGTGCAAGGCTGCAAAAGAGGCGATCCCCAGGGTTGAATGTATACCAATATACAAAACCCCTCCCTCCCCTCACACTGCTGTGAAGGTGAGATTAAATACTGAATTAAAACAGTAGACCTAGTCCCAGCACTATATGACATAGGAAATTACCTTCATCTTCAGAATACATTCGCTCATCTAGTTGTGTGTGTGCACTCAAGTAACCCTCTGACCTTGACACACCCAACTGTTTACCAACAAATGGATCTTTGTTGCCTCGGAGTGCAAAGGTCAATGTTAAGCTCAATTCATAACCATCTTCTTGAACAGCAGAAGTCAGGAGCTACAAAGAGGGCATTGAAAATAAAAAAATATACTAAGAATGCAAATAAAATATTAGAAACAAATGCAATAATGTTTCAGAGCTTTTGAAAGTGTCTGATAGATATGCAAATGTGCGTTACCAAAAGAAAAATGCAATTTACATTTGCTATTTCAATAAAATGATGTTGTTTTATGCAATTTTTCAATTATATCAACCAATTTATGATTCATGTGTTTATGATTGATCAAAGATTTTTTGGTCTAACAGAACTTCAATGTACCACTTTATGCTTATTAATATTTTAAAAGTATGAATCAAGAATGTTAAAAAATATTTGCCTATTAATAGGATGTAAGTCTATCTAATTTCAAATCAGTATGACGCTATCAACTGTATGATGTATATTTACAACAAAGATTTTTTTGTCAAAAATATGGTGTTTAGCATTACTTTTTCCAATTACAATTCCTGCAAACACCCCTTTTACAATAGCCTTTAAATCTCTTGAATGGGTTCAACAAAGCTAAGTGGCCAACATTAGTTCATACCTTTCCCATTTTTGGTTCTCCAATCAGGGCCCTAAACTCTGCATCATTCTGTGTGTGGGCTTTCAGGTGTTGGCAGATGTGTTCTATCTGTTTCCTCCAGTATCCTTGAAGAAATCAATAGTCAACAAATTTAATTTATGTACAGCCGGTTAACAGTTTGTAATTTTTACCCTGTAATAAAGTAGTGTTCCACATGGAGCCGTAAGACTATAGTTTAAACAAAAACACTGTCTAATCCCATTCCCAATACAAATCAAATTAACCTCTTCCTGGGCTAACAGCTGTCAACAAAGGCCTTCGGTCCCTCATCTGTTTTTCAAAAGCTAATTTTTCCTCCTCAATCTCCTTAGTTTTATCAATTTGTCTTTGTGATGGGTAGAACAGGCCCACAGTTTGGGTGCTGACAGTGTTGGTAGTCTTTCTGGATTTGAATGAGGCGTCTCCATTAGCAGCCACCCCTTGGGGCGCTGGGACAATAAATCCTGCAGGTGTTACACTCACAGGTAGCCACTGGTTCTGGTGACACAAGTACAGATTAAACAAATTATCATTAGAGGGTTTACTTTATCAAAACAAAAACTGAGGAATTTTACTTTGAAGACCTGTTTTAAAATGAATAATTTACATCTGGATCTTTCTCAAATCTATGTACAATGATTATTATGAAGGCTACGATTGACTTTATAGCCACTAGCATGGATATTATAATTTGTATAATAAAATGAGTACTGGTTTTGGGATTAGCTTTTTCAAATTATTTTATCATGTGTGCAAACAAAAAACAAACTGACAAGTATTTAAATTATCTTCTGAAATTTGCCAATTAATATGCCTAGTTAAAAAATTCCAGAATCAAAGATAAGTGTAAAACTAATAATTCAGGGAGAAATTGATGTCATTTCTTAACCGCTTTCATTATTGAAATAGGCATTAAAAGTAAACTCATTATTACCCATAGGTGCATGCGACTCACATCACTGTGGAGCGCAACATAGATAGCTTACCCATACATCAGAGTATATTTATAGAAGAATGAGTTTAGTAAAGAAATAGCTACTCACCCCACCAGGGTATTGTCCAGCTGCAGTTGTGGTGAAACTAAAAATGTATTACGTTAGATATTTTAGAAACAATAGTTAAAGTGCAATATATTTATTCCTTTCTAAACTATTTAACAAGTAAATTGGTTTAAATATGTATTCATATTACACCACAGATGGTTTTTTACAAAATAATTGTATGCAAAAATAAATGAAACTTACTTAAGAAAATCACTGGCCTTGGGATATTTACTTTGATCAAAATGTATTTGAGGCTGGGGTTCAAATCTTGGGACCATTTGTCGCTCTGTTGCCCAGCGTAAATCTTGCGACCCGATGCCATTGAAAATCTAAAAGAGTAAAAATAATTTTTTTAATCAAACTAGCTTTAATGTGTTCATTTTTAAAACATAGAAAAAAGAAATATTTCTTATTTCGACGCCCTCAAGATGCCCTTGACACCTAACATAAATTGCCAGCTGAACATGCGCAAGCCACACAATAATTTTGTAATGTTTGGCTTAAAATATCACACTTCATTCTGCTATTCTTGTAGCCTACATATAAAGTGGTATCAAAAGGGTAATGACTTTCAGTTAGCAAATGCCACCTAGTTATAAAATTACAATAATCTAAAAATATGAGCATCTTTAAAAACAAAAAATATAAATAAAGACTAATCTATTAAATTTTGTATAATAAAAAAGTGAGGTATTACCAATCAGATGTTTGTTAAAAATGATTTTAAAGTTTAAATAATTACAATATATGGATATACTTCATTGAGAATGAACTAGAGTAAAAGCTGAACATACATAAGGTTGTGGTGTGGTAGCTGAGTAGGAGTGTTGGACAGGATCCTGTTGTTCATTTCGTCTGGATTCTAAAAACCTTGTCCCTGGATAAGCCTTGTGTCGTGAACTTCCTTTAACTTCCATATCTATTAAAATATTTTAAGCAACAGATTTTCTAGCTTCTAAAAAAAAAAAATTATGAAGACTTTTAGTTTAGATATTTTACAAAGGAGATGAAGATATCATTCTAAAAATGTCAATTTTTGTGATAACATTGATTGACCTACAAATTTCTCTAAAAAAGGATAAAAGCTTAAGTTTGTGCTCATATCCATCTAATCATAGACAGAAGGCAATGTTTTTAGAGCAGAACTTATTTAATAAAAAAAAATGTTCTAGTTCATATTAGTTGTGTCCCTTTTAAAATTTCAATGTGATTACGTCCCTTTATCAAAATTTATAATTAATCAATAATAACATAATTTTATTTCCTAATACAACCTTTGGAAACCTAATAATCTATTACAAACAGTAATCAATAACCTTCTACCTAAAAGAAATAATAATTTACAATATATATCTAAAATACATATTTTATAAGACAATTAAACAAACGAAAACACCATAGGAAAGTAACAACTTGGTTTAAGTATATATCCAAAATCAACCCAAATAGGTTGATCAAAAACAACATCCATTGTGCTCTGCCACAGTTCCATCTACCATGAGATGGGATTGTCCAGCACATAGGTACAAGAAATCTTGGACCTAGGAAGCAGAATAGCTCCATAGCTATCCTGTGTCCGAAGGACCAAGTACATTTAAAAATACAATGTCATAATAAAACCTAAATGAGATCTAAGCTAGGGAAAGTAACAATTCAATATATTTACCAGCAATGCGCTGTTGTGTAGCCCTGATTTCCTCCATATCTGTCCATGCTGATCCTGAGCTACTCATTAATTTAGTTTTAGCTCTCATCACCTCTTTCTGTGAAATACAAGATTTTATAATAATAAAAACCTTCAATGAACTATGTATGTATTCAGTCTAGCATCAGTAACAGAAAATTGTCCTTTGCCATGATTACAATTATAAATGTAGTTTTGCTGTCTGTGTATCTATCTATCTGTTGGGACCACTTTTACTATAGAGAAAACACAGGGAAACTAAAAACTTTCACAGTAATATGGAAAACGAAACGTGACGTCACATGGAACATATAGTAGGAAAGAGTCTAAAGCTGGGAATATGACGTCATTGATTCTCGAGTAAACAATGAATTAAAAAGCTAATTTTATCTAATCTTAAAAGTGGTTTGCGTGTAGAGTTTCTTTCATGCAACTCTTCGGGTAGGAGAGATCCCCCCACCACTATCCCAGGGAGAACGTCTAAGCCGCCCCTCCCCCTCAAAAGAAATGATGATCTACATATACCCTATAATAAAAAACACTGACATTACTGCCCAATTCATGTCTTGTGGGCAGAGCTTCTTTCATGCATCTCTTCGGGTAGAGACGAAGCCCCCCCCCCCCCCCCAAAAAATACTAAATATAATTTATATAGAAAATATATACTTTTACCAGTGTCTGCCTCCCCCACCCAGGATAATTTTATTTGCCCCTGGAAAAATTCAAGTGCCTCACAACCAAAAAAAAAAAGTCTGAAAGAAACACTGTGTGAATGAGATTTATCGGCCAAAAGTAGGAAACGGGCCTATATTATAGAAGTAGGCTCTACCTTTAGTCTGTATGATCTACATATTCGACCAGTGTTTCTTTCAGACTTTTTCCTCCCCGGAGGAGTGGGGGGGGTACTTGAAATATTCGGGGGTGGATACTATATTTAGTATTAATGTGCAGTAACTACGTGTAGATCAAGCTTAAATTCAATTAAAATGCTGATTCTGTTCTGGATAAAAATCCGTTTTCAATGACATTTTTAGTTTCCTGTTAAATTTGAAGTTCAAGTGGTGATTTTGGTTTCGATTTAGAGAAAAAGACAACACTATCAACCTAGCGCCAATTGTATCTATCCCTAAACGGGCCATATATCTGCTCTTGCTATAATGTAGGCTTATGTGGTCTTATATATTTCAATTCTACGTGCACATTTAACAAATGGGACACAGTGGAAGCACTTTTTAAAGGCCATTTTTTGTTTATGTTAAAAATTACTCTTATTGAACATGCAAAGGAGCACAACTTAATTTTCACAAGAAATGCTGCAATTCCTTATTTATTTATATACATTTCACTACACTACAACAACTGTAACCAACCTTGGCTCTAGTTCTATCAAGCTCATCTTGGAAACCAAGATCATCATCCTCAATGGGCATAGTTGGTGCAGGAACATAGTCGACTTCAAAAATTTTTGTGACAACATTGCTTTCTCTCAGCCCGTCACTACAAAAAAAAAAAAGACACAAATTTTCATTAACTAAAACGTTTTTTTGGATTAAAGTCCAGTCCCCCCCCCCCCCCCTCCCAAAATTGTCTAATGTCCCTCCCCCCGAACAAAATAGAAATTGTTATATAGAAAATATATACTTTTTCCAATGTTTGCCCCCCAGAAATTTTAGTCGCCCCCCCCCCCCCCCTCAAAAATGTTAAGTGCCCCCCCCCCCCCCCCACGGAGAAGTAAGCCTGGAAGAAACATACATGTTACCCTGATTAAAAACATTCTTAGTTTATTATTAATAACTAGGGGGTAGCCGTATTGTGAAATGCAGACCAAGGAATCTAAATTGGAACTAAATGTAAAAATTGTACGGGTCTGCCTTATCTATTTCTAAAAACATTTTACCTAGACACTGCAATAGCTTTGACTGTTTGCTTGCCAGCTGGCAATGTGAATGGCCCAACATACTTCATAGTGCATTTTTCTCCTGTCCGCTTGAATGGTTCTGGCTTCCATCCATTTATTGTATAATAGATGTCAGCCCCTGCACTTTCTGTGCATTAAATACAATAACATTTTATAAATGTGTGGAGATAACCAGACAACAATAAGAAACCATTTAAAAAAAAAAAAATTTTTTTAAGCAATCAAAACATTGAAATATTATGGCCCTTTTTAATACACCTCCCAAAATCCATCAGAACCTCTTCTGAAATAACTTAATTTTCGCAAATGTGGTTGACAATAATAAACTGAGGGGGATAAATGGAAAAGTATCACAACCCTTTATAGTTTTTTATTAAAAAAAAAAATTGAAAAAGGTAAATAAATCTTGCCTGTTTTGAGTTCGATTTTGGTATTAGAGTCAATAGAAGTTTTAGGGCGACCTGGTAAAGGTGGCCTAAGAGGAATCACTGTAGGCACAGCAATAGATCCTGCAGTCATCTTGGTTCACTAGTGGCAGCTTTAAATTAGAGAGAGTTGACTTCTAGAGCTCTAGCCTAGAACTTCTATATTGGTAATGGGGAGAAGTTTTACACCGGTGTCCGATAATGGAATCTTCTTTAAAAAAAGGGTGTTACTGGTAGTTAACTAAATATACACTGGATTATACATGGCTGGCTAATGACACTAATGTCAATGCTAACCCCGTCCCTAACCCTAACCCTGGTCCTACCCTACGCCTAACCCTAATTTAATAATTTCTAACCATTTTTAAAATTAGTCGAGATTACAATACAAATTCTTTAAATACTATACTACTAGAACTAGATCTAGTACTTAGTAGTACTAACATGACAACTAACATTAACAACCCAACAAACCTATTTTATTTTTATGGAATAGTCTATTATCTGACATCGGTAACTAAATAAAATCATCCAACAGATAGAACTAGATCTAGATCTAGAATCTATAACACAAGAGATTGAAGAGAAGTTACATTTTTCTTTTATTTGTTTAATATTTTTTATAAATATTTAAATATTTACAATTTACAACACGTTGACGAGTTCAAACGCAGCACAGCTCTAGAACCTAAGCCGCTCCTTATTATATTAACATCTTGAATCGTAATGCGAAGTTTAACTGATTATTTTAGTTAAATTGAATTCAAAAGTAAACTTTAACATTGTAAAATATTATCTTCACAGCGTACCTTTTTTTTTTTTGGAAGAATTTGTTCGCAGGGCACCTGCCCGTTTTCAGTAGCAACGGCCGTAGCTATGTAAATGGCGTCTAGAAATGCACGCTGAAGAGTTCCATTTTTTTTTTTAATGAAAACATGTAGGCCTACTAAATGCTTAATCTATAAATGAATAAATGGGCCAAATAAATTAGGCCGTGGCTAGGCCAAATAAGAATCTAGACTAGGTGAGTCAGTGCGAAATAGTAGAGACAGAAAAAACATAATTAAAGTGGAGAAAATGAATTAAATAATGATCATTGTTAAATTATCTCACCAACCAGCCTAGATTATATAAATATAAAACGTATGGTCATATGAGTTTACATTACACAACCCCTGCTGCACTTTTGGGAAATTTGCTTTTCTAAAGTTTGTCTTTAAGATATTCTAAGATCTCTACATGATATATTTTTAAATATTAGATGCTTGTTATGATTAAATGCCAAAGATTCCAATATAGACAGGGCTTCAATAGTGACAAAAATAAATAGTCCTGGGCAGTGGCGTAGCGAGGTCAGGTGTCACCCGGTGCGGCACTTAATGGTGTCACCCCCTCCAGAGGCGTAGCGACCCTTCCCGGGGACAAACTTTCAAATTTTCGATTTGCACCCCCCCTCAAGTTTTCGATTTGCACACCCCCCCCCCTCAAACTTTCGATTTGCACCCCCCCCCTCAAGTTTTTCTCTATATATTTTGCTATTTTTTGCCTTGGTGTCACCCCCCCCCCCCTAAATGATGTCACCCGGTGCGTTCCGCACCCCCCGTCCCCCCCCCCCCTCGCTCGCCCCTGGTCCTGGGCCGATCTTGATGGACAGGGTTGCCGGGAAAATTCTTGTGGTCGAAAGAAATGGCGCTTTTGGCCATCTGGTGCTTTTATTACGCCACAATAAAAAATTTTCCCCGGGATGCTTGGATAGGCTACAGCCCTTCCACACGTTCTCTGCCCCTATTTATTAACAATTCAGTTTAATAAAGGGGGGGGGGGGTCGTCTTAAATGACGTCACATCGTTTTGGCTACCTCCACTCTTTCGTCATCACGAATTAAGATCGAATCACTAACAATATCTACATGCCCCCAAATACAAAAAAAAAAAGTGCCACTCGTAGTTCTAAAGTAAGTTGACGCTTTTTTCGTCATATTCGTTCCTAAGATTACAGAATGTAAGCTATAACTCTACGTCACATTCTTGTAGCCTACTCCTTATTCTTGGAAGACTAGAGAAGCATCGATCTTAATATCCAATTAGAGTGTCTTCCAGGCATCTCTTCCACCCCCCCCCCCCCCCTCCCCAACGAAATGAATGAAATTTACATCAAAAACATACTTTTACCAGTGTCCGCCCCCGGAAAATGTTGTCTGCCACCCCCACCCCCCGATTGATCTTGATAAGTTTATGCTTGTGTGTTGTAAACGGGTGGGGGAAAAGTGGTGTGTGTAGGTTCGGAATTTAAAAATGAAATTGACCTCGTCACTGTATTGTGTAAATCATCATTATAGCGGCATCAACTAAGCTCTTGACTATGCCAGCACTCATATATTACGAGGATCACAATCACTTCCTCTTGGATCAATGGAATAATGCAAGCAACATTGTGACAGGAATGACAATTTATTTCAGCACCCTGACCAAGCTCTATATAATACTGATTCACTCTATCCTATATTTCATTACACAACCCCTGCTGCAGTTGGGAAATTTGCTTTTCTAAAGTTTGTCTTTAAGATATTCTAAGACTTCTACATGATATATTTTTAAATATTAGATGCTTGTTATGATTAAATGTCCTGGTACTATTTTGTAGAGCATTTTGGTTTTCAACAGTTCCAAAAAACCAATCACCTTCTTTCGTACAATAATTAAAACAAAATTCAACACAGATATTTTTAAAATATACTTTTTTTTTCTTTTTTTTTAATTGTGATTTTTATTTAAGGCTACATAAAATGCTCCATAACCTTCCAAGTCTTAAAACAACATTATTTTGAAGTTTAAAAAAAGTTTTGTATAAAATAACTTAAAAAAAACTTTCTGAAACCAATGGAAGATTATCTACAGTAAAACAATGGCGGATTTAAAACAATATCAGGTGATATATTTTCTAGGTTTCTAAAAAATGCTAAAAAAGCTTTTCATAAAATTAAGGTGGAGAAATTTGACTACAAAGCAGAATTTATGCCAAATGTCTGAAAATTCTTTGATATTTTTAACCAGTTTATCTTTATGTCCATCGCCATCAGAGTGTTTACGCCTGAGATTTACAAGGTTTGAACTTATCAATACAAAGCAGAGCTGCTAATGTCTAACAACTCTGGAACAACAGGTCACCAAAATTAAATATGAACACCAAAATAAATATTATATAGTTATTTACAGATTTAACCACTGAAATTTTTTATTACTTAAAAAGTATATGTATATTTTACTATACTTTAACTTTAAAAAAGAATTACTGTTGGAAAAATAAGTAACTTAAAAACATTAAATTCTAGATTAAAAGCTATGAAGGTAATAATTTGTAGCATTAGTAATCATAAAATCCCTTATTTGTGTTACTAAATATTAAACGTTTAATAAAATAGTAAACTAAAAAAATACATTGCATATATGGGGAACACAATATTAGATGTTATCATGCAATATAAAAGAGACAGTCTCTTAACATTCATTCAACTGCAAATACTGAGTTTTTAATTTTAATAGCCATTACAAAAATCTGCACTAAATTTTTTTTTTCTTTTTCTTCAAGAAACTTTTCTAGTTGTTCAAATGAAAATGTCTAGTAGTTACAAGAATTGTATTTCCAATAGTTTAACAAAACATCAGTTCTAGTAGTTGCAGTTTCAAGACAGGCAGACTCAGTTCAAGGCACAAGCTATATATAAAACACAACCAGTTGTCAGAAAAGTTGAAGATGAGTTGTAATGAGCTGAATATTTTGGATGATTATTTGACACTGTAATTCCTTATTGACACAGTGATTTTGATTACTGATGAGTTATTTTACTCTGGATAACATCAACAATATTGTGACTGCTACTGTGATGTAAAAAATGAATTATTTACTTTTTTTTTTAAATAAGAGAAATTTTCTGTAGGTTAACTCACTGTTAAAGTTTGTAATTCCTTATTGACACATTTATTTTGATAACATCAACAATATTGTGACTGCTACTGTGATTCAAATAATGAATTATTTACTTTTTTTTTAAATAAGAGAAATTTTCTGTAGGCTAAATCACTGTTAAAGTTTGTAAAAAAAGGTTTTAATTAATTTTAATCATTTTTCAAACACATGATTGCCTACTTTTACAAGTAAAAAATGTCCAGGAAAAGTTAACATTACCAACTGTAAAAAAATATTTCATTTATTTAGTTATAATTTTTGTCCACTTAAAGATTTAGTATTTAACCAATGGTTGTGTGATCTTTTGATAAAAAATTGCTGCCATATAAGATAGCTGTTGTTGCTAATATGGTTGATAAACTGCTATTTCCTCAAGGTGAAAAGCTTGTGAGGTAGAAGAAAGGAAGTTTAAAACACTGTCGTCCTGAGTCTGGTACAGTGGTCCTCTCACACAGGACAAGCAGTCCTCTGTTTACAAGTTTGGTAGGTCAAGCTATATAGTCCATACATTGAAGTCCTTGAACAGAGAAATGCTTGTCTCCTACACAACAAACTACCAAAGCCAAGACCAAACTGATGACATGCCATGAAGCATGAGTAGCGTTGTAATAAATAATGCAGCAGTGAGATTAAAAAATATTTGGTCACAACATACATTAGCAATCTGATTTTAAAATAAATTAAAAAGCTTGGTAATTAGAGAGAATGAAACTTGTATGATCGCTAGTTGGGGTAAAATAAAAACAAAAAACAGACAACATACCATTCTTGAGTGTAAGACTTGAGATAAAAGTAAACAATACAATCTGAATAAGGAATAATGGATAACACCAAGTATTCACATAGTTTACAAACTCATCATGGCTGCCTTTTGTTACCTTTCAATGGCTTTTTATATATTTATTATGCTTCTCTTTTTAAAAAAAAATTTGGCCAAGACCATTCATGGTAACTCAAATAGAAAAACCTTAAAATGTGATGAGTAAGTGGTGTAAAATTTGATGTTAAGTACACCATCATAAAAACAAGCCCAACATTTAAATGGGCTATATTTTGACAGAAAATCCAAACATATTCAAAGGGAGAATAAACCATCTCTCTAAGAAAAGGATTAAATCCCTTTGTCAACCAACAACTGCTAGTTGATTTGTACAGCATGAATATTGCCATCACAACTTGGTGTGTTGACACATGTGTACATTATCTAGAGGTCAATGACCATCAAACCAACTGGCTAATGCACATCTAAATTGATGCTTGTTCACTTTCTCATAGACAGATCTCTAATGAGAATTAGTAGAACATGGTGTTTGCAACATTCAAATCACCATCAGTAGTGGGAGGAGGGGAAGAGAAAACTGACATCTAAATTAGAATCGCCAGACAGTGGGAGGATGATATAAAACATGTAGGCTAGGGGAGGTTACACCCTCGCCACATTTTTACAACAACAATTGTCTGGCTAGGGATCTTATCCTCTGTCTCTAACAAGCCACATCAAACTAGTTTCATCACTAACAAAGCTACAGCATAGGATCAAGTACACATTTCATGGAGCACCACTTGATTAAATAATTTAATAGTAAACAAATGCATGATTTAAATCATCCATCCACATTCAGCAAATATTGCTTTTTTTAAAACCCACAAAATCTCTCAACAGTTTTACAAAATTAATGCTATTTGTGTTGTCTGTCAATAAATTAAAAAAAAAAAAACAGGCTAACAACATATTTAGGGGAGACCCCATCTAGTGGGGTGAACAGGTCAAATAAAGGGTAGCCCCACCCTGATGGTCAGAGGGGGGGATGGGAGACACAGCTCAAATAATGGCTAGCCTCAACCCGAATAAGGTGAACAGGTCAAATAAAGAGACCTCTAGAACAGATTACGTGTGCGTAATCAGGTGCTAACAGGCACCATACAACTTGCTCAACAAGTGCTTGCAACATCTCTCTGTATGATCTCACAGATACATACGGTTACTGGATACAGTTTGGGCACAGATGCCACTGTAAACAGTGATAGCGTACACAGAATCAGAACAACAACCCAAGGTACAGGGTATAAGTGCACACAGAATCAGCAAAACCATCGTGCACACCACAGCATAGGGTATTACGTACACACCATGGTACATACTAGTGTACACACTGCAGTACAGGGTTTTAGTGTACATACGACACCACTGTAGACACCACAGAACAGGATACTGGTGTATACTGAGTACAGAATTACAAAATCACTCGGAGTACACATACTAGCGTACACATAGTACAGAATACTGGCGAACACATTCACATCCACTGGGGGCCTGTACAAGATCTGGGATATTCTTATATACTTGGGGGGCCATTGACGTAATGGAGCTCTGGTGTTATGGTCAACTTGAAGTTGGTCAAACGGTCAAGGATGTCAGGGTCAAGGGCACAGACAAGTCCTGCAACTAACATCAAGGCCACCACTTGGACAGGAAGTGAGCGGAGCCAGGCTGCACAGCTGCGGTTTAAGCTGGACTTGGTCTGGGCGTCAGCGCTGCTGGCTTCTAGATGGACTTCAGGTGTTCTGGTAAAGAAAAGTAAGTTGATCAGACTGTACAAAGTACACATTTTCTAGCCAACGAGGCTGTAAACATTAATTAGTTTTTAGCTATATATACAAAAATGTGTACATGCAGCATTTTGTTTATTCAAGGTAAAATAATGGGAAAAACCAACCTCATGCTCTGGCGTGTTTTCAAGGCTTCATGAAGGGATGCAGCTGAGACTGCCAGCTTGCCCAGATCTGACTGCTGTTCCAGAGCCACATCCTCATCCTCCTCCACCTGCTGGTACATCTGCTGGCACCTCTCACTCACCACAAACAGCTGGTTGCGCAGGTCAGCAAATGCTGCTAGCAGAATCCTCTGAGCATTTTCATCTGAAGTCTTGGTCAACTTGTTTCTCATGGCCTGAAGCAGGGATAACTTGGACTCGTACACACACAGATTGCTCTGTAGCTTCTGGAAACAACATTCAGTTTTAAGTTACATTCAAGCTAAAAAATATTTTGGATACATTGATTTATTACACTCTCAAGGCTTCAAGTTCATACAAAATTAAATGTTTCAAGTTAGATTTCATAAAAAAAAAAACTCGACTAAAACTGTTTTTCCATTATTAATATTATACGACTTCTGATAGTACCTAAAGTGTTATTTTTCAAAAAGTTGTTTCTATAACCTGCCAGAAAAATTACAGTCTTATGGATTAAATGTCAAGAATTCTAAGAAAAATTACAGTGTAGCTCTTGTTTTCCTATTATCAGTCTGACCTTTGAGTAGCAATAACTTTACCTCTAGTTCTCTGACAACATCTGTTCTGGTAACCTTGATACCATACTCTCGCTGACACAACAGTGCGTGCAGCCTCTCCCTGTCTGCTGACAGCAGGCTGTCCAGCTCTTGCTGGCTGTCCAGGTACTCCAGCCACACTGACCAGTTGTTTTCTAGTATACCCAGGTGTTCTGTCACCCTACAAATACAATCATTTTTTTTTTATTTCACTAAAACAATAAATAAATGATAATACTACATTAACTTTAGATGCATACCCATTTGGTCTATCAACACAAATTTCTTCATCTTCAAAAATTGAAAACAAAATGGTATGGTGGATGTTCTCATGAAAAACTGCCAAAAAAGGCTGGTTGGATCAATAATATATTTAGCTTACTTGTTGTACATGAAGTTAGTAGATTTTTGTAAATCTGACATTTCTTGAAGGTATCTGGCTACATTGATTGTAGGGTGAAGAGCAGAGAACTCTGTCATTTTAATATGGATTTCCTCCAGTTGCTGACCTTGTATCTGCAAAGCCTCTTTCTTCTCCTAGAGTGAGTGCAATAATTACATGCAATTATAAATCCTCTTGTGTCTGACACTTAGAAAGTAGCTTATTTTAGAATAACTAACTTCTAAGCTAGGTGACTACTTACTTTCAATAGACACTTAGAAAGTAACTTATTCTAGAATAACCAACTTCTAAGCTAGGTGACTAATCACTTTCAATAGACACTTAGAAAGTAACTTATTCTAGAATAACTAACTTCTAAGCTAGGTGACTAATCACTTTCAATAGACACTTAGAAAGTAACGTATTCTAGAATAACTAACTTCTAAGCTAGGTGACTACTCATTTTCAATAGACACTTAGAAAGTAACGTATTCTAGAATAACTAACTTCTAAGCTAGGTGACTAATCACTTTCAATAGACACTTAGAAAGTAACGTATTCTAGGATAACTAACTTCTAAGCTAGGTGACTACTCATTTTCAATAGACATTTAGAAAGTAACGTATTCTAGAATAACTAACTTCTAAGCTAGGTGACTACTCACTTTCAATAGACAGAAGGTAACGTATTCTAGAATAACTAACTTCTAAGCTAGGTGACTACTCACTTTCAATAGACAGAAAGTAACGTATTCTAGAATAACTAACTTTTAAGCTAGGTGACTACTCACTTTCAATAGACACTTAGAAAGTAACTTATTCTAGAATAACTAACTTCTAAGCTAGGTGACTACTCACTTTCAATAGACACTTAGAAAGTAACTTATTCTAGAATAACTAACTTCTAAGCTAGGTGACTACTTACTTTCAATAAAGAAATAGTTTTTTTCAACTCCTCAGATGAGCTAAACCTATCAAAGGGGAGGCACTCTTCTGCTTGCTTGATGCATGTCTCCATGTTGACCAAATGATCTCTGATCTTGCCTAGGGCTGTGGCTTGTGTATGGCGTTCAGATGCCAATGCATACAACTTTTCCCATTGGTACATTATGTCTGGAAATCACATAAAAAATAATGCAACAGTGATTATCTGAACAAACTTAGTTAAAAAAAATAGAAATTGTTGAAACCATGACCAAATTTAGTTCAGATAAAAGAAATAGTTTAAACCGTGAAGAAAAATGTACAAACCATTGACTCTCTTGATATCTTCTGGTGTGATGTCATCACTTTTGAGGTGCTGACAGATTGTCTTCAAACAGTTGATGTTGGTTTCATATGTAACGATGATCTCCTCCTGGTTAATACAGCAGATAAATCAATACCTTTCTATGTTACAATGGACACAAAATTATTTTAAAATTCTATACTGTAGAGTCTAAATAATTTCCAATGTGGTTTCCAACATCCTACTTGCCAGTGTTACTATAATATGGGACAAATAGGGCAAATTTACAGTTCAACTGAACACTGTAGGGTGATACATTATGCTGACAAAGTATATTAGATGATACATTTATATGGTGAGACAGTACAAAATATTTACATATTTAGCTGGGTCAGGGTGCAGGCCTGTCCCCATGGGATCTTTCCTCTTCTTCCTGAGGGACTGGTCAGCAAGTTTAAGCTGCAGCTCGGACTGGTCCAGAATGTGGTGGAAATCATCCAGGTCAGAATCACTGTCATCTCCAGGCATCCCTTGTTTTGTCTGGAGAAATTATTTTTGGTCCAAAATTTTATACAATCATAAGGCACATAACAATGCTACTCAAATCAATCATTTAATTGTTTTTTAAACAAAAGGTTTTTAAATTTTAAATTACCAACATATGGGACAATAAATTTAAAATCACTAATATTTAATAAGAATAGAACATTTTGTGTATGATTAATTATCCCCACAATAAAAAAATATCAATGATCGACTAAAGAAGTAAGACTCACAAATTTGAGTTTGGATCTCTTCAAACCATTGCCCATGACAGCAGACACAAGAGATTTCCTGTGTTTTTTGTTCAGCTGGAAGTCATCATCAAACTCCAGCTCATCTTGAGGGTCCCACTCTAGAAGTTCCTCACCTGGGTCCTCACTGGCAGTGGGGTACAGGACCTGTAACAACACACTCTATGATTAACTAAGGAGAACTTGTAACAACTCACTCTATGGTCAAGAATGCTAACTACTGATCAACCAACAATAAGACAACATGAAAGTCACAAGCTTTGACTTAACTGTGCAGCACCAAACTAAACAGAGCAATGAATCAAGAAGTGTATATAAACTGTAGAGTTACTGATGACAAAACCAACCTGGAAATTGTCCCACATGCAGTTTTCAGAGAAAGAACCAGACACATTGTGTACATCATCACCATCAGATGTGGCGGCCTCCATTGGGGCTGTTAGGTATTCATCTGTAAACAAGGTAAGTAACCCATGTTAGAATAGTTATCTAAACACTGTTACATTAACATGTTAGGTATTCATCTGTAAACAAGGCAAGGAACCCATGTTAGAATAGTTATCTAAACACTGTTACATTAACATGTTAGGTATTCATCTGTAAACAAGGCAAGGAACCCATGTTAGAATAGTTATCTAAACACTGTTACATTAACATGTTAGGTATTCATCTGTAAACAAGGCAAGGAACCCATGTTAGAATAGTTATCTAAACACTGTTACATTAACATGTTAGGTATTCATCTGTAAACAAGGCAAGGACCTATGTTAGAATAGTTATCTAAACACTGTTACATTAACATGTTAGGTATTCATCTGTAAACAAGGCAAGGAACCCATGTTAGAATAGTTATCTAAACACTGTTACATTAACATGTTAGGTATTCATCTGTAAACAAGGCAAGGAACCCATGTTAGAATAGTTATCTAAACACTGTTACATTAACATGTTAGGTATTCATCTGTAAACAAGGCAAGGAACCCATGTTAGAATAGTTATCTAAACACTGTTACATTAACATGTTAGGTATTCATCTGTAAACAAGGCAAGGAACCCATGTTAGAATAGTTATCTAAACACTGTTACATTAACATGTTAGGTATTCATCTGTAAACAAGGCAAGGGACCCATGTTAGAATAGTTATCTAACACTGTTACATTAACAGAGGACAGGGAGTTTACTTTAGAAGAGTAATCTAAGCATTATTATATTAAACAAGACAACAGGTCTAAGTTAGAATAGTGATAAAGCATGCACACACACACACACCCACCCACCCACCATACATACATGTCATACACCTGTTCATACACACAACACAACACGCCTAGAAGTAAGAATTGTGGTCTAGTTGAATAGTTAACATCCAACACAACAATACCACACCTAATCAAATAATCTACTTAAGTTGCATTACTGTGGAATTTAAAATCTGCTATTTAATAACAAATATAGCAGTGGTTATGGTCTGTTCACATGATCATTACATTTGTTCAACAGTGTATGAATATGTATGAACATTTCTACTGAGTTAGTAATTCTTATAACCTAAATATGCTATTAGCTAACTCTAGATAGAAAATGCCTCGAGTTAAGACCCTTTAAAAGTTCTCAAGTTCTGTTTGAAAATCCTCTTGTAGATTGTTAAGTACAATCAAAACAAACAACAAAGTAATCATTAAAGCTGAACAAAATGGCCTCAGAGTTGGGAAGCATTTCTTTAACTAATATTGGGTTTTACTTTTTTAAACAACAATAACAATACATGAAAACTTTAAAAGCTGCACAGATCATTAGGCTAAAAGATTTGTAGATTATACAAGTAAAACAAATGATTTGAAAACAAAAACTGACCTGTAGTTTCTGATTCCGATTCAGCCTCTGCACTGTCATAGCTGTCAGTGGTGCTGGACCTGGTTAAGGTGGCAGCGTAGGTGTCTTTCTTCTCTAGACTAGACCTGCGCCTCAAACGTCTGGGCTTGTGGTTCTTGGCTGGTGATCTCTCAGCCCCAGATGAGTTCTCTGATGGCTGTGACGAGCCTCTGGCGCCAGGGATGGCACTCTTGTCACATGTACCATCTGCTGTGACAGACTCGTCACAGTTGACCCCAGTAAGTGTCGTCTCGCTGTTGGTGGGAGTGGTGGCGTCCAGGGATGGGCCACCTGAGTATTTGATCTTGCGTCTGGCACACTTAGAAGAGGATGAATGTTCAGAGGAGGAGAATGATTTCCTGAAGTAGTCCCTGTGGCTGTCCCTGGGGAAGGTGGATGAGTGGAAGCCAATGTGTGTGGGTGTTGATGTGTCCATGTCGGTGTGGGAGAACAGATGGTCTATTGCACTTTCTGATGCTGCGATTGTTTGCTGGAGACTGTCACTTCTCTTGTTGGTGTTAAACTCCTGCAGCCCCACAACACTCCACGGCCTGTCTTTCTTGCCTCTTCTACGGGAAGCCCCACCGGTTTGTTTACGGAGGCGAGCAGAGTCAAACACCGGGGAGCCGTGGGGTGTAGGTCGTGAGATGTCATCTGCGCTTGCATTCTTGGCAGGGTCTGCAGACTCCAGGTTTATGGTGCTGTTGAAGAGGGTCTCCTCAGCGTCATCTGTTGCCGTGGAGAAGTCCTCTACTGCGCTGCTACACTTCAAGGCTCCTTCATGGTCAGAGTTGTCCTCCCCACTAGCATCGCAGGAGCTCTCCACAGTGCTGCAGCTGTCTGTCTGGGTCTGTTTGGATGGGGAATGTTGGACTGGAGCCTGTTTCTTGGGTGATGCTGCTGGCTGGATGGTGTGCTTGGGGCTGGAGGGTTTGACCAGGTCCTCAGCATGCTCTATCAGGTACTTGATGGATTTCTTCTCCCTGGATTCTGGGGCGCTGTCTGACTCTGAGAACTCCACAAATGTGTACATGGGGAGCAGATGGGCATCCTTGTCCCCAGTCACACACTCGCCCCCATACGCATGGCTTGTCTGGTGGTAGCCACCATTTGGGATTAGAGATGACAAGTCCCATGCTTCATCCAGCGAATCTGATTCTTTATGCGCATCTAACTCTGAGAAGACCTCTTTAACAGAAGCCTCAAATCTATCTGAACCAGAATTATAAGAATCATTGAGTGAGCCTTGTTCAAGTTCCTTTGTTGATTTGTCTGAGTGAAATGAATCATTATGCAACACTTTATCACTTAACTTTTTCACCAACTGCCCTTTCTTAATTTTTTCCGCACCAGAATCCGTGGTGTCCCCGGTATCTGTCCGGTCTGTGGAGTCAGCATCCACATGCGTCATCATGTAGTAAATGGGCTTGACAGCTGTAGAGGGCAGGGAGATCTTCTCCCCCAGGGGGCCATCGCTGGCCACCTCACACTTGCCCTGGTACCTGTACTCCAGGTCAATCTGGTGACCCATGACCTCCACCTCGTCGTTGGACTGGCTCTCACTGCTGTATCCAATGTCCTTCACATCCGTGCTATTGAACCTTCTCACTGCTGGTGGATCTCCTTCACCATCACTGCTAGTGACCGCATAGTGACCGTTGGCTCTAAGAAGGTTATTAGAAGGGGGGGAATCCCCCATCTTGGACTCAGTCTCACTAATGTTAGCAGAGTCCCCACTGCTGCAGCCAAATCCAGCCTTGCGCTGCTTTAGGTGGGCATAGGTGTCTCCGTGGTGCATAGAGTTGATGAGGAGACCATCTCTACTGCTGATGTGCAGCCCTCTTGAAATGATAAAAGAATCCAGCGGACTCTCCTGGCTGACTGGGCTCAGGCCTCCACTGGAGGAGGAGGGGGACTGGGAGCCCCTCTTGGCCGGGCTGGCCTCTCCACTCCCAGGGCCGGGGAAGGGCCTCTTGCCGAGTGGGCTGTCAGGCTTGAAGAAAGCAGCTGGTCTTGAGGGACTGTTGGGGGCTGTAGGGGTGTGTGCACCAGAGCCGCAGTGCACTAGGCTGTCCTGGATGACCACCTGAGGGAAGACATCCTCCAGGCTCTCGTCCTGGTCGCTGTAGGCTAGAGAGGACCTGCTGCCGTGCAGGTCTAAACTCCTGTAGCAGTCCCCAGAGTTGGATGTGTTCTCAGCAAAGTCGTCCCTGTGTCCAATAAAGAGCAAACTGTCATCGTCTAGCTGGATTAGGTGCTCACTGAAGCTGTGGCCTGAGTGGCTGAACAAGGATTCGTCTATCTCAGACAGGGGGAAGTTACTGAAGTCAAACCCACAGTGCAGAGGCTCCTGGGGATAGAAGAACTGATGTCAACAAACAGCAGGTACACGTAGAGATAACATTGTATGAACACAGCAGTCACTGACACAGTCAACATAATGACACAGATAAACAAAGTCAATATCATTCAGACTGTGGACCTAGTTGACAGAGTCTACAAAAAATTATGTTTACCCAGATAGTTCATTGATAGGCCCTTCTTTACACCAAGATTTTAGAGAATGTTACCAAAAAATTATTCCATGTCCATGGTGTGATTTAGATAAAAGCTGATAGCTCAAAACGGTGGTAAGAAACACTACAGAAAGTCAAGCTAGTCATGAGGAACACCATAGGCATTTAACAGATAAGCACAAAACACCTTGGTTATATAAGAAACTAACATATAATACCATGGCATTTAACACTTTACAATGTAACACCTTGCCACCTTTAACACAATGGCAAACAAAAAGTGAAGCCCTTTCCTCTCACATATTACAAGACATTCATTGAAAAATAATGTAATTAAAAATAAACGTCTATTCTAAAATATTGTATACAGACAATGGTAAATGTAATTTTTCTAAATGTCCATGTAGTGCAGAAGATCAACGACATCTATTATTAGAAGCCACACGGGTAAATGTAATTTTCTCTTTCTAAATGACCCAGTAATGCAGAAGACCAAGGACGTCTATAATTAGAAGCTAACAAAGCCCTATCGACGATTTACACACAATTCAATTTACCTGTCACACACCAACCCTTAAAAAAAAGCACATCTAAAAGACAAATAATCTAATTTATTGGTTACTATAGCAACCGGACGCTGCCGGCAGAAGAAATAAAAGCGCTCCTTTAGAGCTGTCATATCCTCTAATGACCGGCCTTTACGTTTTTTTTTCCTTCCCCGCTCTTTGATGACCCGGAGTTTAGTACGTCGCTGAAGGAGGCGACTCAATCACGTGCAGCAGTCGTCCAATCAATGGAGCGCAACATGTAGCCATTGTACTAGCCTACTGCTCTAGTCATGGGTTGATACAGGCCAGGCTATGTGTTGGCTGGGTACAACTTTTGGGATCTCGGTACAGAATACACTCACGTACACATATGATATCTAGGTACAGAATAGTCATGTACACTCTAGGGATCTCGGTACGGAATAGTCATGAACAAGTTTGGGATCTTGCTACAGATGTGGAATAAACCTATGACAACAAGCGCGATCCTCAAGAAACCAAAACGTAAGCAGCTTTATTACAGTTTTCCCCTGGGTCCAGTTCTGACCTAAATCATGTCACGTGACACAAAGCTGACCCACTGGACTAGTCAACTACACGTGTTTTCAGCGCTCACCTAATGAAAACAGGCACCAACTGGGATTGTTCAGCTACAGAGGTTGAGCGCGGGCAACGAACCACGCAATCTACAAACAGCAACTTTCAATAATGCATCAAAGTTACTGGTATCGATTACTCGACAGCAGACCTTCAGCGTGGATCACCACTTCGATTACCCGGCTACCCTAAGCCTACATGTCAGACTGCACGGCTGTGTGAAATATTCGATTCCCCTTCTCGCTTGACTCACTCGCGATTACTGCACAACGCAGCGGTCACGGGGGTTTAAAGCTGAACATGAAAGGAATTGTATATGATCTCAGCCAACTCACGATGGAGTCGTGTGCACAGAAAATATCGGGGCTTCCAAAAGACTAACGTAACTGGACATAAAAACGCCTCGAGTTAATGAATGATTTAAATATTAACGCCGTTTAACTCTAGCCAATGATGTATCAAAGCCGCAGTTGACGTCGATATCAATAAGGACAGGTTTTAAATTACGACCACCACAGTATTTTAGATAACTCAATACCCGCAGGAGACCCACATGAGACGTGAAACTGTCTTTTTCAGGTCGGAGTGTAGGAGACAGGAACAGATGAGGCAATATGGGGTGTATTGGGAGAACAGCAAGGGCATGGGTGCATCTTTTGAGTAAGAAAAAAATTTAAGAGTCCAGTTCTAGTACTACACGGGAGTGTATGAGTGGTTAGTATACGTGTACAGGCAGTTTAAATGTACGAGCGGGGCGTGTGCGGGCAGTGAGTGTACCAGTGACAGCTGGCAAAGGTGAGTAACATACATGAACGTGGCCACATGGCTCGTGTAAGCTGTTACACCACAGGAGACTTTCAGGCTACAGAAAAAATACAGCGAGTTCACACTGTTATGGACAAAGGGGTGGTCGATAAAATAGAAACAGTTGACACGGCCCTGACTATACACAGACTTGGTCTCACGTACTAGCACACCATACATTTAAACAAAACATAACACTTGGTACCTGAAGAGTAGGAAGGGACCGATCATGTTTGTGGATCTCAACAATAACATACCCAACTGACAATAAAAAGACTGACGAGACACTCAGTACTAGACTTACCTTCCTCTTGGTGATGGCGCCTTCCAAACGACACTGCCACTCGAGGGACTGCAGCCAGATCCCGTGCCATCTCCTCTCGAGGTTCAGTGCCACCGTCTGCAGGGAGTCGTGGCCCCTGGTACCGCAGGCCTTAGAGTCGAGCTCCAGACGCTCGCTCAACTTGAGGACAGCGTTGACGATCTTGTTGTGGGATTCTATCTCTCTCTGTAGTGCCTGGTTGAGAGAAAACAAAGGTTTCGTTAAGTCACCACTATTACAATTAGAAATTATGCTACAAGATATGTACAGACCAAGTGAACACAGGCGCCCATTTGGGTTAAACCAACCCATGAAGCCAATAGTAATCTAGATGCGAGACAGGCAATTTATGGTACAAAAGCGGGTACACAAAAGAAATCGTTCTTAGAAACCTTAGACAAAAACATAGCTTCACTGGTAACACCAGCGCTTAGATAATGGTCAGAGTGAAAGTAAGAACCTCATTATTGTTTTAATGCCAGAAATGGAAGGGGGGGGGGCATGATGCAGAATTTAAATAGTGCATATTATAATCAAGAAGGTAAATACCGATGTAGATCTAAAGTTTATTAACTTTTAAAATATCAATGTAAATGAGGAAAATGCTGATGTCTAAAGTGCCAGAAGTCCGCAGTAAATCGGCGTGTCAATGAAGTAAGTCAGCGATAAAACAACACAGGCTGTGTGAGTGAATAAGTCAGGATACAGATGTCAACACCATGTGGTCCTAGGCCAAGAATCTCGGCACGGAAATCGCTGCTGTGCCGGATCACGAAGCCCGGAAGAGCGTTGGTCAATATGTTGAGCAGGTTTGTTGGTGGGAGGGGGGGGGGGGGGGTGACTCAGGTAACTCCAGGCCAACGATTTGAACTTAACACACAATAGTGTTTGGGGACGTTTTCTGGACAATTCAACTTTCTTCCCACAAACTAGGGAGTTTTGAAAAAGTGTATCATATAATCTGATGTCAGGGAATGTGTATTTTGTTTGATCTGTTCATGTCAGCCAACACGATGCCAAACAAAACAAGAATGTACGAGGACGTAGGTGTTACAAGAAAAGAGAAGACAGCGATATCACCATGCCAATTAGACCTATTAGGTTGAATTAGGCGATGTGTCATTGTTAAATAAAGGTGTACATGGTGCAGTAAAAGATGGTGGAAACATCAAGCTAATGACCTAAACATTCCTTATAATACATGCGTCAACAGGTATACCTCACCCCCTTTTAACGACTGACAAGTTCATGCGAACTTCAACATCACGCGATTCTTTAAAAAAAAAAAGTCCGCACACAAACCAGACCTTCATACAAAAAAAAAGGTTTGCATTGTTTTGAACTGGCCTATGGTTATTACACCTGGTTCAGGTAGAGCTGTCTAATAAGTTGAGCTGAAGGTACAGTAGGCAGGAAGTAGTGTCAGCTTGTTTGAACTCGTGACGTCAACTCAATATTACCACACTCCTTCACCATAGTACTTCAACGTTCAATAAATCTACAGTACACAATCAAATGGATGCCTTCAAAATAAAGTAAATCTTTTTCCAGGACACCAACTTCCTGATAAAGCCGGAGTTTGACAGTAAGTGTACCAAACACTAGGGAAACGCCCCTAGAGCTAAATCAGCTGTGTAACGGGACACTCATTGATTGGGTTGCGGCATGTGTCAATAACAGCGCGTCCTAATCTAACTAAAACATGGGTGTAAGCACCAGATCAGGAGGGTGAAATGATGTGTAACTAAAGCATGGATGTAAGCGCCAGATCAAGAGGGTGAAATGTGTAACTAAAGCATGGGTGTAAGCGCCAGATCAGGAGGGTGAAATGATGTGTAACTAAAGCATGGATGTAAGCGCCAGATCAGGAGGGTGAAATGATGTGTAACTAAAGCATGGGTGTAAGCACCAGATCAGGAGGGTGAAATGATGTGTAACTAAAGCATGGGTGTAAGCACCAGATCAGGAGGGTGAAATGATGTGTAACTAAAGCATGGGTGTAAGCACCAGATCAGGAGGGTGAAACGATGTGTAACTAAAGCATGGATGTAAGCGCCAGATCAGGAGGGTGAAATGATGTGTAACTAAAGCATGGATGTAAGCGCCAGATCAGGAGGGTGAAATGATGTGTAACTAAAGCATGGATGTAAGCGCCAGATCAGGAGGGTGAAATGATGTGTAACTAAAGCATGGATGTAAGCGCCAGATCAGGAGGGTGAAATGATGTGTAACTAAAGCATGGGTGTAAGCACCAGATCAGGAGGGTGAAATGATGTGTAACTAAAGCATGGATGTAAGCGCCAGATCAGAAGGCTAAATGATGTAATCGGTCTATTGATTTGAGTCAGGGAACAAAGAGATTATGACGAGTCAGGGCGACCTGAGACGGTGTGTGAGTTATGACGAACTGAACAAACACAGCAACAAAGCTGCCACTCAGGTGGGCTTGCATACATTAGCGTCTGTAAGGCATTCCATTATGATAGTCTCTAATCATATCAGCCAGCTTGGGTTTTTAATCCTCAAGGGTTGCCCTAACGAGGCTACGTGTCACCAGGCATGCATGGATCAGAGTTGATAATCTACACTCAACTGGTTCTAATCTTGTAGGCTACACCCCATGGTAATACTTTTTACAAGTTGTTGGTGAATCTAGCTCTACTGACAACTTGACAATGGCTAGGGAAATGGTAATACTTTTGACAAGTTGGTGAATCTAGCTCTACTAGCAACTTGACAGTAATCAATAGCTAGGGAAATGGTAAGACTTTTAACAAGTTGTAGCATTCACAGCGTGTCCCTCACCAAAATACAATGTCAAGGCCAAAAACAACCATTTCGTTATCGCGTGTTAGAATTGATTGCACATTGATTACACGTGAGCAACCACAGTGAAGTCATGAATACAAAATAGTTACATCGTCACCCAACACTGCTTCTTCTGTACTGCGTGTCACTGACACCGAAATGTCACCAATGAACACAGCGGAATCTATAAAAACATTCACCATCAATTCTTGCACTATTGAAACAAACGTATCAAAATGTTTTACCTGAGAGCTCATCCACACCAACTGTTTTGTAGCAATGACAAAGACACGAATGAGACGAAGCGAGCCCAACTAGAAGAGAAGCTAACTAAGGATGATTGCTATCAAATATTTAAATGGGCCACCGTTTGGCTACTGCCGCTTGCTTTTGATCTACTCTTATTGGTATTAAAAAACTGCTCACAAGTCCCGGTCTCCGGGGATGTCTGATGTCACACACAATTCATACAATTGGGGCTGCTCGGTACAATCACAGTTGAAAGAAACTACACAGGTGATTGTATTGCTAATCGATACGAATAGCTTCAATTTTAGACAAACGAATGGCGTGATTTTTTTTTTTTAAGTTTTAAACATAAAACATAAATCGATAGGAAAAAACAGGACTAGACAGACTATTTGCCACAGTTTACACGAATACTGTCTAACATGATGGTTTAGGTACAGTAGCATCAGTCTCAGTACAACAGTTATGGGTTTGGGGGGGGGTAGGTTTTCCCCGCTAATATGTCTGAACTTATGGTTTAGGTACAGTAGCATCAGTCTCAGTACAACAGTTATGGGTTTGGGGGGGGGGGGGGGTAGGTTTTCCCCGCTAATATGTCTGAACTTATGGTTTAGGTACAGTAGCATCAGTCTCAGTACAACAGTTATGGGTTTGGGGGGGGGGGGGTAGGTTTTCCCCGCTAATATGTCTGAACTTATGGTTTAGGTACAGTAGCATCAGTCTCAGTACAACAGTTATGGGTTTGGGGGGGGGGGGGTAGGTTTTCCACGCTAATATGTCTGAACTTATGGTTTAGGTACAGTAGCATCAGTCTCAGTACAACAGTTATGGGTTTGGGGGGGGGGGGGGGGGTAGGTTTTCCCCGCTAATATGTCTGAACTTATGGTTTAGGTACAGTAGCATCAGTCTCAGTACAACAGTTATGGGTTTGGGGGGGGGGGGGGGGGGGGGGTAGGTTTTCCCCGCTAATATGTCTGAACTTATGGTTTAGGTACAGTAGCATCAGTCTCAGTACAACAGTTATGGGTTTGGGGGGGGGGGGGGGTAGGTTTTCCCCGCTAATATGTCTGAACTTATGGTTTAGGTACAGTAGCATCAGTCTCAGTACAACAGTTATGGGTTTGGGGGGGGGGGGGGTAGGTTTCCCCCGCTAATATGTCTGAACTTATGGTTTAGGTACAGTAGCATCAGTCTCAGTACTAGAGTTATGGGTTTGGGGGAGGATTCACCAACCATTGAGTATCAATAGGTACCTAGACCAAAGTTGATCAACTGACTGCAAGCACACGAGAAATCTGTTCACTAGTTTGGGTTTTGTTCGTTCCTTTGTCCAACAGTTTTGTGTGATTTTTTTCATTTCTTCTACAAGTTACAACCCAACGAACCGGATTTCCTGCCCGACAAACAGCCCAATCGATTTGTTTGACAGCTTTTAGGTAAGATGTTTTGTTTTATAATCAATAGCACATGCACTGGCGTTGTTACAGAAACACATGCAAACAGTATTTCTCTATACCGTGTTTTCTTTCTCTTCGGTATGTCAGGGCGACACACAATTTAATTTTAACAACCAGCCCACAGATAAAATGTGTACAAAGTGATGAGTACTGACCAGAAAAATTACGTGTGTAATGCTGATAATATAGCCATCAGAAGCCTAAAACTATATAATCCACTGATGAAAACAAACGTACGGAGTCAATATAGCACGATGAGAAACTGCTGCTGAATGCACGGACCCATGAGAAACTACTGAATGCACGGACCCATGAGAAACTACTGAATGCACGGACCCATGAGAAACCCACCTGATAGAAGGGCAGGTGACATTCTTAGCGTGAGTGTAACTCAGCTCACGTGTAGGGTCAGCACTCAAAGGTCAGTTCTACTGGAGGCTAGATATTGGTCTCCATATAGTCTACCATATAGTCTAGCATACAGGCTGGACATGTGTTTACAGTAGGTTTATCCTACACACAGGCTAGATATTGGTCTCCATGTAGTCTACCATATAGTCTAGCATACAGGCTGAACATGTGTTTACAGTAGGTTTATCCTACACACAGGCTAGATATTGGTCTCCCTGTAGTCTACCATATAGTCTAGCATACAGGCTGAACATGTGTTTACAGTAGGTT